ACAACGAGGAATCTAACAGGGGAGAGGTGGAAGTCACCTCTCACTCCTCCCCATATGACCACCACACCGGCAAGGACAGGGCGCTTTAGAGAGGCGTGTTGGTGATGGAGGAGGGACATGCGGACACCCAAGTCCTAAAAAACGCATACAACCCGCCGGATCACCCTCAGAAGCTGACTCGACAGGCAGGTGGCAGAACTGTATAACTTGCAGATATAAAACCTCTGAGGAGCGATGAACCCCTTGACTACTGGGTGTTCAGGCTTGACCTGTGGCCTGAGCTATCCCAATTTGCGATAGAACTTCTGGCCTGCCCCGCTTCAAGTGTCCTGTCAGAAAGGACCTTCAGTGCAGCAGGGGGTATTGTCACTGAGAAGAGAAGTCGCCTAGGTCAAAAAAGTCTAGATTACCTCACCTTTATTAAGATGAATGAGGGATGGATCCCGAAGGGACTGACACTGGGCGATACATTAGATTAAAAAAGGCCTGATGAGATGAGCTGCCTTGGGCTAAAAATGGTCCACACGCTGCTGTATTTTGGCTCTGAATGCCTGTTGACTTGCGTGACTGATCCGCCACCAACTTGGGTTCAAGCCGCCATCTTTTAGGGCACTTTCTGCCTGTGAAACAAACATCAGTTATAGATTGAATAGCGGTTAGTTGTCTCAAAGCGGGTGTGTCAGCCCTACAGCGTGTACTCTGCCAGTACGCTGCCACCTCCTCTACTCCTCCTACTCCATCCTCTTCCATAACCTCCTTGGCTTAGTCCTCTTCTGCTGCTGCGTCTTGCTCCACATCAACGGATAGGGGGCGTAACAGTGATTAAACTGATAACAGTAGTACTAAACACACCACTCACTCACTGGTGTCACAATAGCTTGGATTTAAAAACAAAAAAATTTTTTCACTGTTATAGATTGAATAGCAGTTAGTTATCTTCAAGCAGATGTGTCAGCCCTACAGCGTGTACTCTGCCAGTACGCTGCCACCTCCTCTACTCCTCCTCTAAACCACTCTTCCACCGCCTCCTCGGCTTAGTCCTCTTCTGCTGCTGCGTCTTGCTCCACATTAGCGGATGAGGCGTAACAGTGATTAAACTGATAACAATAATTTAAACACACCACTCACTCTGTTGTCTGTAAGCTTGGATTTAAAGAAACAGTATTTTTTTTCACTGTATAGATTGAATAGCAGTTAGTTATCTTCAAGCAGGTGTGTCCAACCCTGGCGTGTGCTGCTATGGCTGCCACCTCCTCTCTACTCCTCCTACTCCATCCTCTTCCATAACCTCCTCGGCTGAGTCCTCTTCTGCTGCTGCGTCTTGCTCCACATCAACGGATAGGGGAAGTAACAGTGATTAAACTGATAACAATAGTACTAAACACACCACTCCTATCTGGTGTCCTGGTAAGCTTGGATTTAAAAACGAGAATTTATTTTTTCCACTGTTATAGATTGAATAGCAGTTAGTTATCTTCAAGCAGGTGTGTCAGCCCTGGCGTGTACTGCCAGTGCGCTGCCACCTCCTCTACTCCTCCTACTCCATCCTCTTCCATAACCTCCTCGGCTTAGTCCTCTTCTGCTGCTGCGTCTTGCTCCACATCAACGGATAGGGGGCGTAACAGTGATTAAGCTGATAACAATAGTACTAAACACACCACTCCTATCTGGTGGCACATTAGATTGCACGCGCAGTGCCCCAAATTTGTTGTGATCTGTGAGTAAGGTAAACGGTTGTCCATACAAGTAGGTTGCAGCTTTTTGAGGGCCCACACCACCGCTATGCACTCCCTTTCAATGGCAGTGAATATACTTCGCTGTGCAAAAGTTTACGGCTTAGATAAGCCCCGGGTTGCTAGCCACCATCTGCTCCGACTTAGCTCAATACTGCTCCCAATCCAAGCATAGAAGCGTCTGTATGGACGAGAAAGTGTTTAGTTGGATCAGGAGAAGAAAGTACAGGTGATTTAATGAGCGCCGTCTTGAGCTGTTGGAAGGCCTGTTCACATTCTGGGGCCATACTACTATCTTGGGGAGGTTTTTACACGTTCCTATATGGCACTTACTGGGCTTTAGGGTCAGTCCGGACTCCCTAATCCGGTCTATTACGGCTCCTATGTGGGTCAGGTGTTCGGGCCGGGAGCTGCTAAAAATGTCTATACCATTCAAGTAGGTGTGTATCAGTGTGTATCAGGGGATCCTTAGGACGGGTGTCAATCCATATGCTGCCAAGAGTGACCCTATGTTGGGGTAACATTCCCTATTCTGATCTGTGTCGGTGTGTATCAGGGATCCTTAGGACAGGTGTCAATCCATATCTGCCAAGTGACCCGATGTTGGGGTAACATTCCCTATTCTGCTCTGTGTCAGTGTGTATCAGGACCACTGATAGGAGACGCGGAAGGTATTAAACTGATAAAAATGGTACTAAACACTCCACTCCTATCTGGTGTCACATTAGCTTGACAGCGCAGTGCCCCAAATTTGCAGTAAGAGGACCGACCAAGCCTCTTCTTCCATCTCCCTATTACAAAAATCAATGCCGTGTACACGACCACTGATAGGAGACGCGGAAGGTATTAAACTGATCAGAACAATACTAAACACACCACTCCTATCTGGTGGCACATTAGCTTGACCGCGCAGTGCCCCAAATTTGAATTAAGAGGACCGACCAAGCATCTTCTTCCATCTCCCTGTTACAAAAATCAATGCGGTGTACACGACCACTGATAGGAGACGCGGAAGGTATTAAACTGATCAGAACAATACTAAACACACCACTCCTATCTGGTGGCACATTAGCTTGACCGCGCAGTGCCCCAAATTTGAATTAAGAGGACCGACCAAGCATCTTCTTCCATCTCCCTGTTACAGCAATCACTGCCATATCCATACAAATTGTACAGAATGTCCAGGATAGTTTTCCAGGGACAAATGTTGTCGCCTGTTGAGCGAGGTGACCTTGCTCGGGTCCCAGGTGTGCGGTTCCTAAAATGGCTGCCATATACACGTCCACTGATAGGAGACGCGAAAGGTATTAAACTGATCAGAACAATACTAAACACACCACAAATAAGGTTTCTCTCCTGTATGGCTCCTCAAATGATGCTTAAGATTAGAAGTGGCTGAAAAGCATTTCTCACACTCCGAACAAAAATATAATTTTTTAACATTCTCTCCACTTTGAACGAAATGACGTTTGGGAAGAGATTAACATAATTAAACACAGGCAGTAAAAATACAGTTTTTAGCCATACCCTGTAACTTTAAAACTACACATCCATCTTCATAATTACATATTTGGAATCAGCACACTTAAAACATAAACATAACCAAAAATCAGCCAAATCCATCCAGGGGTTAAAAAGTTAGCTGGAGGTCCCTTTATGACCGACCGCAAGCAAATTTTCATGCCCAAAACAGTTCCATAGATTTGGGCTGTGAGGTCAGTCTATTTCAGGCTGAAAAAACGACTAAGTCCCATCGCGAATAGGACTTAGTCTCTGCAGCTGAAATAAGGCTGAAAAAAACGGCTGAAAAAAAGACTAAGTCCCATCGCCGAATGGGACTTAGTCTCTGCAGCTGAAATAAGGCTGAAAAAACGGCTGAAAAAAAGACTAAGTCCCATCGCTGAATGGGACTTAGTCTCTGCAGCTGAAATAAGGCTGAAAAAAGCGGCTGAAAAAAAGACTAAGTCCCATCGCCGAATGGGACTTAGTCTCTGCAGCTGAAATAATTTCCCATTTACTGAACCAAGTGGGAAATAGCAAGGCAGGCACAAAGGGTTTGCACCAGGTCTGGGGACACAGGGGACACCGTCTTAAAGGGGGCGTGTCCCCAACAAGTCTGGGGACACGGCCTTAAAGGGGCAGTGTCCCAATCTTCCTGATGTCCCAAAAAAGGTGTTTAAAGGGCCAGCACCAGTCACATAAAGAGTCCATAAGCCCCAATATGCCCACCGACAGTCTTAAAGGCCATACACACCAAATAAAAGTGCATACATTTTCACAATCTCCCAGGGGCCATAGTCATGCGGGAGGAGGCTGGCAAAGAGGCTTCTCCACAACCCAGGGAAACAGGGCAATTTGCCATTTAAAGGGCCCGTTACAAATAGCAGTTTGTAACAAGGTGTCAATCCATATCTGCCAAGTGACCCGATGTAGGGGGAACAGTCCCTATTCTGCTCTGTGTCAGTGTGTATCAGGGGCTCTGAGGACAGGTGTCAATCCATATGTCAAGGTGTCAATATGTCATATGTCAGGTGTCAATCCATATTGATTGTGATTTAGGAATGTTAGGTGATTTCTGCCCTTTATGGATTAAAACCAGACTCTGTATCAACTGTGTAATTTTCCATGGGAGTTTTGCCATGGATCCCCCTCCGGCATGCCACAGTCCAGGTGTTAGTCCCCTTGAAACAACTTTTCCATCCCTATTGTGGCCAGAAAGAGTCCCTGTGTGTTTTAAAATTCGCCTCCCCATTGAAGTCAATGGCGTTTCGGGCGGTTCGCCGGTTCGCGAACATTTGCGGAAGTTCGCGTTAGCCGTTCGCGAACCGAAAATTTCGGGTTCGCGACATCACTACTGATCAATTGGGGGTCCCCAGCAATGAATAACTCCCATAATTTTTGTTGTCCTCTACATCTGTATGTATGTTTGTTTTTTCTTTTGTTTCTATATTTTATCTGTCTCACCATTATCTCGTAACACTCCAGTTTAAAGAGGACCTTAGTATGTATTGTTATATATATGTATATATATATATATATATATATATATATATATATATATTTTTAGTCATACTAAGGATAAGCCTCTAAATTCATTCATTACAGTCAGGTGGGCCAAATTCCAAATAATTTTTGTTTTTATTAGTTTAGCACGCCTGCACTGCCAGCTATGTTTTATTTTTTGATGCTGGATTAATAATTATAAATTCATAGATTAAGTGAATTGTTGCCAACGTGAGGCTTATATTTGATCACACTGGAGAGATGTGATAGTGTAACTTTCTGTTGGTTTACAACAGTAAAAACTTTAAAAGCATTTTTTTTTAAATTTGGTTCCCAACAAATATAACCTCAAGTTGATTTTTTATTTTGATTTTTGAATAGCAACAGACAGTTTTCTATAGATTGCACGCTGCCAAACTGTGTAATGGTAGCATTCAATCTACTTTTTTTTTCTTCTCTCTCCATCTTTGATGCTTTGGTTTTTTTTTTGTCATTAAGAATATAGGGAAATTAGATTGCTTTGAGTGAAGATGGCATAAATAATAAAGTGAAAATGTATGCTATTTGTTCTAATTGGCTATCCGCAGGGGGTTAAATAGTTATGGGTATGAGAATTTGCACCTACGTTCAATTGCGAATACATTTTTCACCCTTAGATCTTTCCCACTCACATTCATGTATAATAATTTACGGTTTAAACTATGTACATTTTGTGATTATTGCATGTATTCATCAGTAAATTATAAAATAACTAATATGGTTTTGTGTTCAACTCTCCATCAGGTGTGGAGTAAATGTCTAAATTAATCAAAATTTCAGGAGACATTTGTGGGTCTTTTACATACCTCTAAAATGTAAACATAGCCTTAAGACACCACAACCAAATAGATTTTATTAGACAAAACTAGTTAAGCCTTTGACACAAGACAATATGCTGATTACTGTTGTACATATTTCATTGTCTGTGTTTGATTCAAAGAACATTTTAATTGGAAGGCCCAGAGAGGCGAAGGTAACTGACATGTCCTGTCACAGTTTACTATACAGATGAAGAGGTGCTGGGATTACACGTCAAACTATTATCCTGAAAATGGATACTATACAAATGAAGAAGTGCTGAGATTACCAAGTCAAACTATTAACACAGCCCAGAATGAGGGTAAAGTAACAGCAAGAAGCAGGAATTTGTGTCATTTCAAGGTGGTCACAGAATGAGTTTACCCTACACTCATGAACTTGCATGTGTCATTAAACCTACAAACCTCAAGCTTTGTAATGGATTGGCAAAGACAATATTCAAGGAGAGTTCATTCTAAAATCACAGCTATCAAGCACACAGATCAGTCACAGTCTTCAGATTCCAGTCCCAGGCGAAATTAAACATCATATTGTGTCATAAACTAGTGATAATTACTGTATGGGGTTGATTGCGTCTAGATATTACTACTTCACATGAACACATTACCATATAATATTAATGAACAACTACCAGGGTTCTTACCAACCCACTTGGGCAGTGGTTAATTTAAAAACGGAACAACTGAAAACAATTGAAATTGGGGGAATGTGGGGTGATGCAACCCCTGTTTGACTATATTCTCTCACTTTTAAATGTGCTCAACATAAGAGAAAAAAAAGTGAGGGAATGTGGTGACATTCTGTCATCAAACTAATATGGTGACCAGGGATCATGTGACCAAGCTCTTACAGTGGGATAAGCTTTACCCTTTTGAAATGTTAATTGGTAATTCAATACCTTTACTAGTCAGGAAAGAGATAACCACTTCCCCCTATCTCCATTCCTCTCTGTTCCTTCTTGGCTGTGCTACTGAGCAGTCCTTTAAGCAGACATGGCCTTATTTCTATCATGGTGAACTGTGAGTGGGATTTTATAAGATGTAGTTGTTATTGTTAGTTAGGTTGTTGTTGCTGTTGTTGGTGGTATAGTTAGTTAGATTGTGTGTCATTATTTGTATGTTGTTGTTGTTTTGTCTCTGAATAAATATTTGTTAAAGTAGACGGACCAGAGTTTATATGTGTATGCGTACATAATAATTTATAGAGTTTGGTAATACACCACACAGTGTGCCAATCTCCATGTGCTCCAAGCCTCCCATGTCCTTTGGGTAGTTTTATTTCGGGGCCATAGTCTGCCAAAGCCCTGCTCGTACTTGCATTGTGTATCTATTTCCATCGCTAGGGTGGACACTGCGGGACGATTAGGGGATTTCCATGCTCTTGCTATTAGTCTTTGGGCTGATAATATGACATGGTAAATAAGCTTCTGCAGATGCTTAGGGACAGTGGCGTACACACAACCCATGGGGCCCCGGTGCGAAAACTGACCCGTGGGCCCCCCCCGCTCGCTTACTCTGCATGGGCTGGGGCCACAACACATGGTGGCGGGCACCTGGTCGCAGGGGTCGCAGGGCTGCGACCGCGGTATGTACACCAGTGCATGCAGATACACATACACTTAAAGGACCACTATAGACACCCAGATCACATCAGCTCAATGAAGTGGTCTGGGTGCTAGTTTTAACCCTGCAGCTGAAAACATAGGAGTTTCAGAGAAACTGCTATGTTTCACTGAGGGTTAATCCAGCCTCTAGTGGCTGTCTCATTGACAGCCGCTAGAGGAGCTTCTGCGATTCTCACTGTGAAAATCACAGTGAGAAGACGCTGAATGTCCATAGGAAAGCATTGAGTAATGCTTTCCTATGGGCAGTTTGAATGCGCGCACAGCTCTTGCCACGCATGCGCATTCAGAGCTGAGAGGCGGATCGGGGCGGAGAGATCCCCACCGCCAAGGGAGTCCGGCGCTGGAGAAAGGTACGTGCTTAAGACACACACACACTCATGAACAGATGCATACACACTCACTAACAGACGCACACAAACTAACACACTCAGTAACAGACACAAACAGTAACACACTCACTGACACACACACACTCTAACACACACACACACACACTCACTTTTTTTTTTTATTTAATCCCTGCAGCCTCCCTACCTTTGGGAGAGTGGAGGGGATTCCCTGGGGTCCAGTGGTGTCACCCGGCGGGCGGGCAGGCTGGCGAGCACGCGAGGGAGCACTCTCCCCTGAGTGCTTTCTGTTCAGCTCCCTCGTGCGCCGCGTACTGATACCGGAGCCGGAAGATGACGTCATATTCCGGCTCCGGTATCAGTATGCGGTGCGTGAGGAAGCTGAAGAGGGAGCACACAGGGGAGAGTGCTTTCTCGTGCACCCGCCAGCCTGCCTGCCGGGTGACACCAGGGCCAGCCTCGGGGGGCCCTGAGGTGGCCGGCTTCTGGGCCCCCCAGGAGAAGAGGCTGACCACAGTGGGTACATACCGGGTTGCAGGGCGGCCGGGCCCGCTGGTGGGCCGGGCCCGGTCACAGCCGTGACCCCTGCGACCACGGTATGTACGCCACTGCTTAGGGAGACCGTCTTGCAGGAGCATGGTTAGATACGTGCTAGGTTGTAGGGGCAATTTGGTTGCAGTCAAGGAGGTCAGCATGGTGTGAACCCCTCTCCAAAATGGTTGGATATTCGGACATTGCCACCAGATGTGGAGCATTGTTCCTTCTTGGTTGTCACAACTCCAGCAATTTGGCAAGCTATCGGGGTATATCTTTTAGATGCGCGTTGGTACCATGTACCATCTATAGATTGTTTTTCTCTGCTGTTCCAGTAGGGTAGCAGACTTAATTAGGGATTTAGTCGTGGTGAACAGTTGGTCCCATCTCTGCTGGGAGACCTCAATCCCTAGGTCCACGCTCCACTGCTGGGAAGGTGGCGACATATGGAAAGGGAGGTTGCTTAATATTAACCCCTTAAGGACACAGCTTCAGAAGCTTGACTTACGCTTAATGACACAAGCAATTTTTGCATTTTCTTGCTGTTTGCGTTCAACTGCAATTTGCATCTCTCTCATTTATTGCACCGACACATATTATATACTGTTTTTTAAAGGACAGAAAGGGCTTTAATTTGGTATAACATATATATATATAAATGCTTACTTATTATAAAAAAAATACAGAAAAATGCAAAAAAAATGAAAAATATTGGGGTTTTTTACAGTTTTTGCAATAATAATGTGTGCATAATTAGTGCAGGTTAAGGAAAGTAATTAAAAATAAATTTATTTATTTGTTCTGATTTACAGAATATATAATGTGTCTGGGATTTTAAGTTTTTTTTGGTAGTTACAGGTCACAAAGCACAAGGAGTAAAATAAACTTTTAATGTGGAGCGATTTTAGAATTTGGTATGTTTGTCTTGTAAGCTTAATAGCCATAAAAGAAAACAAAATTGCCACACAAAAGTATATATTTATATAAAGTAGACATCACGGGCTATTTACCTAAGGTTGTTTTGACACTTTCTACGTAGCCATTTCACCGCCAACCTCTGCTAAATATTGGAGTAAAATTGTGTTCTTTTTGGTTTTTGGCACACAAACTTATAACAGAGAAATTCTCGTGTATATTTTGTAAAGTTGGTGTGTGCTATTCCTGTACAAAGTTTTATTTTGTGTTCAGTTACATCTGCTGAGTAAAATGACACCCCCATTGTATGTCTTTTGCACTATTTCGTGAAGTTACAGTGCCATACAGGATACCTGTCCTTTTCAGTATTCACAGTAGAATTTTGAGAGATGGATTTAATGAGCCTTAGCTTCCATTTTGGGGTATTATAACAGTTTGACTGTTCAAAAAACCCCCACAAAGGCCTACCATTTGTAAAAGTAGACACTCCAGGGTATCTTATAAGGTGCATATTGTGCCTTAACATGCCCCCATTTTTTCACCAATATATGCCAAAGTATGTGGTAAAAAATAATTTTGTGCATTTTTTACATACGGATTGCATTTTTGCTGGGCGTTTTGTATATTTCATATGTGCCACTAAGTTCAAACCCCCCAAATTATGCTCAGCTAAGTCTTCTGAGTAAAATGACACCCCATATGAATGTCTTTGGCACTATTTCGTGAAGCTACAGTGCCATATAGGAGACCAAGCCATATCCGTTTTTACCAAACTTTGAATTTTGACGCTGGGCCTATGTGCAATTTCCAAGCATCTTCGCAGGTTTTAAATTCTACCCCACAAAGGCCTACCATTTCTTAAAGTAGACACCCCAGGGTGTTTCAAAAGGTATAGTTTGAACCTTAGCGTGGGATCATTTTTCCGCTAGCTTGTACCAGATGTAGTGGTAATAAGCGTTTTTTCTGCCTTTTTGACATACAAAGTGAGTTTGCACAGTATATTTTGCAAACCTTATGTGTGCTACGACTGTATAATACTTCATATGTTGCTCAGCTATGTCGGCTGAGTACAGCAATACCCCCGTATGTACCTTTGCCAGGTATGTGTGGACATCGGAGGGGCACATTTGGGACACAGCCATTCCAGTTTTTTTCAAACTTTGAATTTTTATGCTGTGCCTATGTCCCATTT